CCAGAAGAGGAGCAGCGGGAACACCAGAAGCACCTGGTGCAGAGCCCCAGTTCCCACTTCATGCCTGTGACACGCCCAGGACGCTATAAAACCACCACTTGTTGGCCCTGCACAAAAGGCCGTTTCCTGTGTAGGCTGCTCACTGTCCTCTGTCGGTCAACAGGAGGAAAAGCAAGGCTGACAGAAGGATGCTCTTTCAGAAGCAAGCAGCACTGAAAGCACTCCGAATCAAGATGAGTAGGGAACCAGCCCACATTTTGGATAAAAAATAAAGTACTTAAGGGCAAAACTGTTGCCGTGCCAAGCAAGTAGCTTGAAATAATGTTCCCCGCTGATCTTGCTATGTTGGAATCTCTCAGATTTTTTCCATCATTGTTTTACTCTCTCACTATGTGACCTTGAACACATTCCTTAGCGTCTCTCTCTCTCTCTCTCTCTCTCTCTCTCTCTCTCCCCCCCTCATTTTTATCTTCACAATGGGGAATATTAATAGTACCTATTTCTTGGCAGTGTTATATGAATTCATCAAAGTAATGTTTACAACACTTTTAGAAAAGTGCCTAGAATATGGTGTTAACAAAAGTGTTTGTTTAATAAATTAATGAATAAATAAGATAGCCCTTGCTCACACTGAAGTCATTCAATGCAACAATAGACCTCTTGATGATATCGCATGGCAAAAACACAGAAAATAATGCTCAGGGAGGGAGCCTCAGGCATGGCAGGACATTGAAGGAGAAGAAGAAACAGAAAGTTTTCATGAGAAATAAAAGTGAATGTGATGGAAAACTCCCATATTATTGGAGGAAATGTAAAATGATGCAGCCCTTTCGAAAACAGTTTAGCAGTACCTCAAAAAGTTAAACACAGAGTTACCATATGACCCAGCAATTCCACTCGTAGGTCTATACCCCAAAGAATTGAAAGCAGGTACTCAATAACCAAAAGATGGAAACAACCAAATGTTCATTAGCTTATGCGTGAATAAACAAATGTGGTCTATCCGTATAATAGACTATTATTCCGTCATACAAGAGAACAAAGTGCTGATAAATGGTGCAACGTGGATGAACCTGGGAAACATTTTACTGAGTGAAAGAAACCAGACACAAAAGGTCCCATGTCCCACGATTCTACTTATAGGGACTATCCAGCATTGGTAAATTCATAGCCACTGAAGGCAGGTTGGTGGCTGTTCAGAGCTGGGTAATTGGGGAGTAACTGCTTAATGGGTAGAGGGTTTTCTTTTCTGGTGGTAAACATGTTTGGAACTAGAGAGTGGCAGTGGTTGCACAAGTTTGTGAATGTACTAAATGCCATTGAATTGTTCAGTTTATAAGGGTTCATTTTATGTTTTGTAAGTCTTACATCATAAAAAATCATACATACGTAAGTGGGACCAGAGTGAGTGCTGTGTTTGTTCTAGTTGAGAATACAGAACATTCCAGACTCCTCTTCCACTCACCAGAAACCTTATTTGAGAAAGTTATCTAATGGCCATCCCCTCTGGGCCCTGGTTTCCGTATCTGTAAGAAAATGGAAGTGGACTAGGTGATTACGAGGAGCGCTTTCATTTCAAATTCTAAGGCAGAGAAATTCAACACCCCTCTTTCCTCCCTGTCTCATCCACATGCTTGGAAACAACTGCATCTGAACTGCAGATGTATACTGGAAGACAATGAATGTTGTTGTAATTAAATTACAGGGAAATTAATTTGTTTTAGTTATTCGTTATAATATTAGTTATTACAATGACACAAATTAATGGGCAAATAACTAAAACAAATGCACGTTAGCAATGAGCTTAGTGTTTGCCACTGTGATACTTAGGCTCGGAGCCCATGCATGGCTCCAGCCTGTCTGTACCCTCCATGTAAGCACACACTGTGCTTTTGCCAGTCACAGTATCTCAAGCTCTCCAGCCAAGTGCAGTGCTGGCAGAATCACGTTGATTGGGAGGCCCTTGATTGATTAATCAGTGCCTTGCCAAGCAGGATGGTGACGAGAAATTAAATACCCTTCTGAACGGCCTACTCTTTGCAACCAAGTAATCTAGAACAGCTCGAGGCCATCAATCATTAGAACATGCCATAGACCACTGCTCTAATTACAACTAGACTAGTTAGAACTTTACTCTAAAATTATTGAAATGTTATTTGAATAGTACCACTGCTCTAATTACAACTAGACTAGTTAGAACTTTAAAATTGTTGAAATGTTATTTGAATAGTAAGCCAAATTTACCCAGTCCTGGGACTTAAAGTCTGGGAGGTGGGTATGTCATTTTCTGCATATTACCCATCACAGCATGAGTCCACAAGTTGTTGAGGACAGGCCATTGTGAACATCACTAATTCATGGAGTTGCTAGGAGTCAGAGCCGTCTCAATGGCGCGTGGCACACACACCTCCACTACCTGCTACTGCAGGTTACCGGTCTTCTGTAAATTCCTTCCTAATGATTCCTAGGAGTCTCAGGTGCATCTACATAGACTTCAGCTGGAAGCATTTCAGCCACCTACCAAGGTTTATCAGTCACCCCCCACCCCTTAAATTCTGGTTTCTTCAGGGATATCTACTTTGGAGGTCTACAACAGTCCCCAAAGCTGCACCAACCGGAAGCCACAGTCTATCCAGGCCCACATTATTAGACAACTATTAGCTGCTAATTTCAGGAGGTCCAAGCATGTGGGCTCCCGGCCTCATGGAGCAGCTGAGAGAATTTAGATAGCGCCTTGAGGCTGGCCAAGTCAAACCTCCTGAAAGGTCATACCAACGACTTACCCTCTTGGCTGAGAGCCTCTCTCAATATAACTGGAAGTTCCACCAGTTTCCCATTGACTACTCTTCTTGAACGTTCCTTCTATCTACTTCTTTCCATCACGGAGCAGCAGCATCCCTTTCCTCTTCCACTCTTTGTTCTTGGCCTGGACTTCATTCCGTTCCTCCTTTCATATTTCTCCTCTCACATGCAGAGAGGAGAAGGCTATAGGAAGGAGAATAAAAGTGAAAAAGCTGGAGGGGATTGTGTACAAATTAAGTAATGCCTGTAAACCCTGTACATCCTTCTATTCAACTTAAATGAAGAACCTGAGTGCAAATTAATGTAAAATTAAAAATATGAAAATAGCTTTGCATCCAACTTATGAATCTTGTTTTCCTGACTTTGATCTCTGGTGTTCATTAGGAAATAAATAAAATAAAAAACCCATAAAGCAGTCAGCTTATCTTTGGGTAACTAAAAACTCTTCTGGTCGTCCTGACCAGTTTGGCTCAGTGGATGGAGCGTCGGCCTGCGGACTGAGGGGTCCCGGGTTCAATTCCGGTCAAGGGCATGTACCTTGGTTGTGGGCACATCCCCAGTGGAGGTGTGCAGGGGGCAGCTGATCGATGTTTCTCTCTCATCGATGTTTCTAACTCTCTATCCCTCTCCCTTCCTCTCTGTAAAAAATCAATAAAATATATTTTTAAAAAATAAAATAAAAACTCTTCTGGTGATATTCCTCCCTCCCTTCCTGTAGGGAAAGTGAGATGAGAACATAGTCTATCTTTTGGGCGATATACCTAAACTGGCTGTTACACAAGCATGTGATTAATTTTGAAGGCTGACTTTCAGAACACCATATTTGAGTAAACTTGAAAGATAAGTCAATGAAAACATCCAGCAAAGCAAAATAGGTATTTTCCCGTTTCAATCAGATATCAGATATGACCCAGCATTTCTTCATCCCGTTTCAATCAGATATCAGATATGACCCAACATTTCTTCATGTTCAACCTTCTGAACACAAAGGGTCTTGAATACAGTAGAGGTTAGCGAAATGTTTGTTAATTTTAGTTAAAATGGAATTTCTCTCAGTCGCTCAGTGGCTTGAACTTCCTGACTTGAGGAAAAGGGAATAAGGAAAGGCATCATGATGATAAAGCTAGAAAGAGATCACTATTTAACATACAGATAATTTGTTCCTGGGTTTATTACTTTGTTCAAAAGCCTGGGAGGTGAGCAGCCAGAATGTGGCAGTAAACTGTGCTATTAATTCCATTTATATTTTCAGAGCTGGGAGTCAGGTTTTCAAGTTTGTTCTTGGACTTTATGCAAAACATATGCAAATCTATAGCATTCTAAAATCCCGTCTCTTTGCCAGCCCCTCCCCTAGTCACAAACAGCCTGGGCTGCGGAGTGGTGGACCCCGGCGTGGGTGATGGGCGGGGATGGGGGGGAGTGGGGGAAGGGCTTTCGGCGA